AGACATCCCTCCATGAATCTCTGTGGACCACAAAAACAATCACAGCTTCTTGTTAAAACTTTCCTACTTGCATACACTCACAGGAGGGATGGGGCCTTTGATGAGACCAATCAGAGCCAAGCTACTCACTGAGCCAGCCCTGCCCGCTACTCTATTGCTGCTGGGATCTTTCATCACACCCAGCTAGGACAGCACAAAGAGAACTCTTTGTTTCTGCAGAGGCTTCCATGAGTGGCAGGGACTGGCTCCTTCTCAAATGTTATAATTCTCTCCTGACAGTTTGATGACTTTGGACTGTAGACCCTTTCTAAATCTTCTCAGGATAGTGTTGGTGTTTTATCATCATTGACACTTTTCAGGTTTGGGACGGTCATGTCAGTTCAACCTGTCAACTAGTCACAGGTTTGTGGCATGCATTGGTTTTCTGGACAATTTGCCACCTGACCATGGTCTACCTTTTATTGCAAAAGATACTCCACATTGATTGATAGTGAAGGTACTCAATGGACCTTCCATGTCCCCTGCCATCTGTAGGCATCTGGCATTACTGACCATTGAAAAAGTTTCCATCAAAATCAACGCAAAAATGTTTTGATTCTCTCCTTCATCTCGTGGTCTGTGCATCTTGTTCAAGCAGTTGGTCATTAAATGCAGCTGTCCCCAGAAAGAGATCATCCCCTCTTAGCTGCATCCTGGGTGATGATTAAGATGACCAGTTTGGCAGTTCTTCAAAAGTGAAACATACCCACCAGAGAACCCAGCAAATCTCATTCCTAGATATTCATCCTAGAGAAATAAAAACTTATGTTCACACAAAAGCCTGTATATGAATGTTTAGCTGGCTCTGTTAATAATCACCCCAAACCAGAAACAAAACCAGATGTCCTACAACTGTTCAATGGATAAACAAATGGAGATACATTTATGATAAATCAGCAATAAAAAGGAACAAATGATTGAAAAATACAACTTGGATGAATCTCAAGGAGATTAGCTAAGTGAAAGAAGCCAGTCTCAAAAGTTTACATCCTCTCTGTTTCCATTTATGATTTTCCAAATGTTGAAAACTATAGTGGTGAAGAATAGATCATGTGTGCCAGGGATCAGGCATGGGAGGGCAGCATGGCCACAAAGAAGGAGTTTGGGTGACCTGGGAGAATCATAGAACTCTTTCCGTAACCTATTTGTGCTGCTGGTTGCAGTCCATATGCACATTAAAATGCAAAGCCAAGAGGCTGCACTTCTCTCTCAGGGGTACTGTTTCTTCCAGGGCATGTGGCCTCCTCCTTAAACAGCATTATGTTTGTAATGACATTGATCGTTCTCCTCATTGTCCCTTTGACCTACACAGCCTTACTCACATTTTAGCTGACCTTCAGTAGAGCAGGCTGTCTCCTTTCCTAGATGGCAATGGAGACTGGATCAGTGCATGTTCTGGTGGCACTTGTAAGTGGAGTCATGGCTTTTTGGGTGAGAAGTTCACCTGAGTACTTAATTTACACAGTAGATCTCATGCAGGAGCTGCATTGGACAACCTGGCATGTACAAAACTCTGCCTTAGTCTTTGTTTTCCTGCTTGCATTCTAGGGGTTGGAGCACAGCATGTGGTTGAGACTGACTTATCACTGTTATCTTTATCACAATGCCTTCAACTTCAGGTGAGGCCCCACTATCATTTGACCCAGGGGCTCCTACTGGACCTGTATCAATGTGGGCATATTTTTAATGGAGGGAGGCCCTATCCATGCTGTCTTTATGTTTCCTTGATGACCTCTTTGTGGGGGTGGCCAACGTAATAAGAGCTAGCTTTAATTTCTGTTTTTCCAGACACAGCCTTAAAGAAAATATCTATTAGCTATGAGGGGTGTATGTCAGTTTGCCCCCTCCACCCATTGGAGCTTTTTTTTATGTCCAAGGTACTCTACCCAAAGAAAGTCACATTGACCAGAAAGAGATCTTTTCTTTCTTTCTTTCTTTTTTTGTTTGGTACCAGGAATTGAACTTAGGTTCCCTTAACCACTGAGTCACATTCCCAGCCTTTTTAAAATGTTTTATTTTGAGACAGAAATTCCCTACGTTGTCCAAAGCCTAGTAAATTGGTTAAGACCTCAGTAAACTTGCCTCAAACTTACAATCCTCCTGCCTCCCAAATTGCTGGGATTACAACCATATACAACCACACCTAGTCCATACAGGGATGTTTAGGGGCCCCCTTCTATAGAAACCAGCAGGACCAAGACGCAGGTGCCTGTATTCCTGGGGACTCCAGGAGGCCATTGTACCTGCTGAGCTCTGAGCAGAAGGCAGGACTCCATTCAGAGCCATCTGCTTTTAAGCAAATATTCAGAGGTTCAGAACACTAAAGGTTGGGGAGCTTGCACTGGAGGCTTGGTGCAAGCTGCCACCAGATTTCTCAGTGACATCATTTACCCTGGGGTCAGAAACATCTGGTCTGCTGGTCTCCACCCTGATCTTCTGCCTTTCCCTTTTATCAGGCAAGGACAGCCTGCCCCTGGGCTTCATTGGGTTTATCAAGGTGAGGGAAAGTAACTTGTTTGTGGCCATGTTGGAGGGCTTTGTGGGTGTGCCTGGTGAAACTGCAGGTTTCAAACTGGAGTTTTTAAAATGGAGTTGCTTAGGCTCAGGCCTAAGGTCACCCTCACACTTCCTGTCAGAGCTCTTTGTCTTTCTGAAGGTAGAGTCTGTCTTGGGCTTTAGCCCCAAGGAGAAATATTAGTAAGAAAGCCTATTCTTTACCTTTGGCATGAAAAGTAGGAAGTGAAGCCAGGGGAGTCAGATCTCTGTAAGCTGCAGTGTGGCTGATGTGAATTGAAATGTGTTGGGAGTCTTTTTTTTTTATTGGTTATTCAAAACATTACAAAGATTGCAGAATCACATCGGTTACACATCCACATTTTTACATAATGCCATACTAGTAACTGTTGTATTCTGCTACCTTTCCTATCCTCTACTATCCCCCTTCCCCTCCCCTCCTATCTTCTCTCTCTACCCCAT